CCCTTCCGACATGGGGGTCTGTCTGCTCAGTCCTGGTCATACAGGATTCACTGGACCCAGCCCCACAAGTTGTGCCAAAGCCACCTCCCCCTTCGGCCTCCTGCTGCCCAGGACTGTGCCACAGCCCCTCCCTCTGCCTCAGGAAGGTGGAACGGCCAGTGGCTGACGGGCCGGCCCAGGGCAGCGCAGATACCTGTGGGATGGGCTTATGTCAGCAATCTGCTCCTTCCCCTTGCAGGCTCCTGTGGCCTTCGGGCCCCACCTCCTCCTAAGCCATCTAGGCCGAGCTGGTCTAATCATGTTTCTGAACCCACCCATCCCCTGGCCACCCTCTCAGTGCCCATCTTCCCTCTGCGGGCAGCCCTGGCTCTCAGCAGGGCCAGGCCGGGCCATGCCCAGGGCTCTGCGGGCAACCCTGGCTCTCAGCAGGGCCAGGCCGGGCCATGCCCAGGGCTCTGCGGGCAACCCTGGCTCTCAGCAGGGCCAGGCCGGGCCATGCCCAGGGCTCTGCGGGCAACCCTGGCTCTCAGCAGGGCCAGGCCGGGCCATGCCCAGGGCTCTGCGGGCAACCCTGGCTCTCAGCAGGGCCAGGCCGGGCCATGCCCAGGGCTCTGCGGGCAACCCTGGCTCTCAGCAGGGCCAGGCCGGGCCATGCCCAGGGCTCTGCGGGCAACCCTGGCTCTCAGCAGGGCCAGGCCGGGCCATGCCCAGGGCTCTGCGGGCAACCCTGGCTCTCAGCAGGGCCAGGCCGGGCCATGCCCAGGGCTCTGCGGGCAACCCTGGCTCTCAGCAGGGCCAGGCCGGGCCATGCCCAGGGCTCTGCGGGCAACCCTGGCTCTCAGCAGGGCCAGGCCGGGCCATGCCCAGGGCTCTGCGGGCAACCCTGGCTCTCAGCAGGGCCAGGCCGGGCCATGCCCAGGGCTCTGCGGGCAACCCTGGCTCTCAGCAGGGCCAGGCCGGGCCATGCCCAGGGCTCTGCGGGCAACCCTGGCTCTCAGCAGGGCCAGGCCGGGCCATGCCCAGGGCTCTGCAGGCAGACCATGGGCAGCCAGGCCCCTTTGCCTGCAGTGCTCATGCCAACAGATGAGTCAAGTGAACTAGCTGCCGCCTATTCTCCAGCACACTGGACTTGGCACTGGCTATGGGGTGGTACCAGAATGCATCTGACGATTGGGGTGTGTCCCTGGGAACACACAACACAGCTCAAAATTGCTAGGCTCAAGCTGAAAGGGCACAGCACAGTGGAGATGGAGCCCAGGCTAGTCTAGCTGGGCTGCGGGTCGGGAGTGAGGGCCACCAGCAGAGCGGGAAGCCGAGGGCCTGGCAGAGAGACTGTGGGTCAGGATTGAGGGGCAGCTGCTGGGAGTCAGACCCAAGCTCAGGTTGGGTGGGAGAAGCGGGGCTGGCACCTGGGGTCTCTGGCACAGCTTGGGCAGGGACTCCGCTGAGTTCCAAGGCCCCGTCTACACTAGAGGCTTCAGCGCCCCAGGGCGGGCACTGCCGCCTTGCAGGACGGTGACAGCAGGGTCCCCCTGCAGAGCTCTAGTTAATCCACACGGCCAAGAGGCAGCAGCTACCTGGGGTGTCCACAGCAGCTCAGGGGGTAGGAGCAGCCTGGGGGGGCAGTGGGAGCAGCCTGAGGGAGGTGCGGGGTGAAGATTCCACAGCCACTCCCTGAGTCAGCGACAGCATCAGACCAGACAGTCCCGCCGCCCGTCAGCAGCTCCCACCCAGCCCCGCTTGCCATCGGGGCACCTCTCCACTGCCAGTTTCCAAAAACCCCATTCCTGCAGGGCTGGGCGTGATCTCAGCCCCCTCCTGCCCAAGCTACCAAACAGCTTCCATCAGACAGCTGTGCCGAGGCCCCGGGGAAGCCCAGAGGCTTTGCTGCCCCACAGGCCTCCTGTGAAGGTGTCCACAGACTTGCCCAGCCTGGCCACTGGTCCTTCCTTACAGCACCTGGCACTGCAGCCCTGGCTCCCTCCCCCAGCCCTGGGCAGTCAGATTTGGGGCCTGCCACTCACCCCACGCCGCTGGGTTGGCCCCAGCAGGCTGCTCCTCTAAGCTGCTGGTGGAGATGGGCCCGCTGCAGAAACCCCAGGGGCCATGGCAACATCGCACAGCAGGCCGAGGGGTCGCCGAGTCTGCCAGCCCCCGCCCTTCGGAGCAGGGCATGGGCCTGTCCCTCAGGCCCAGGGGCTGACAGGAGGTTAAAGCTGCCACGTGGCCAAGCTATTGACACCTCTGAGCAGGGGCCCAGCTGTGATTGTTCTAAGCACCAAACCGCCCCAGCCCAGCCCAGCAGGTGCACGGCCCGGCCTCCCCCTCAGAGAGGCTAATTGCAGGGCTCAGGCACAGCTGCTCCCCAGCCCGAGCCTGCAGCTGCAAGCAGGTCCTGGTGGGCCCCAGTGCTAACTCTCGGCTGCAATAACGGGGGGCTCCAGCAGGGTCCTCTCCTCATGCTGACGTGTGTGTGGGTCCCTTGCTGCAGTGGGGAAATAGGCCTCTCCACCCCATGTCTGCAGAGCCAGCCCTGGGCCCCAGACAGCCTCTGGCTAGTCCTGTCCATGCCACTGGCTCAGCTGGGCTGGGCACGTGGTCCTGAGCACCAGAAACGAAGTTTCAGTCCCTTCTCCCACCCCGGAAGCACTGACAGCCCCCCCAGGGCCGTGCCCTGCTCTGGCTGGTCCCAGCCTGCCACACCCTGCTCTGGCTGGGCACAGCCCCAGCAACACCCCAGGCTGGCAGCACCCAGCGTCTCCCTACACTCCCAGCATGGCACCAGTGGGAGGGGCCCACGTGGGCTCTGCCCTGCCTCCATAGGCCTCTGTGTGGACACACAGGCAGCTCCATTGCCCGCACCGGCGAGGGCCAATTCCTGCAGTGGAATCCCAAGGCCGGAGACCTCTGGGTCAGCCCCAGCTCATGGGCAGAGGCCCCCCCAACACACCCCCTGGTCAGATCTTGCCTTCTCTGCTGAGCCTCCCAACCCCAAGGGGCTGGGGCTGGCAGGGGAGCAGGAGCCTGTGAACAGCTCTGGTTGTGCTGCAGGCCAAGTGTGTCCACACCAACCTCTAGCCCCTGCTAAGCCTGGGGGGCCCTGGGCCTGGCTCCTGCCCTCTGGAAGGGGAGCCGTGTCCTGGGTGGGTCGGCACAGCCCCGTCATGGGCCAGGCAGTGCAGCAGGCAGACAGACAGGCAGGCTAGGGCTGAATGGCTAAGCTGGGTCTCAGGCCAGCACTTCATCCCCTCTGGGCCCTGGCACTCTGCCCGTCCAGCCCCCCGCGCCCGGCGCCCGGACCCGCCAGAGGAACCACGAAGGAGACACTCGACAGTTACTCCTCTTAGCTCTGGCTAAGCTGGAAAGACCACGGGGATGGCCATAGACCTACTGGCCTGTCGCTCCTGTGCCCCTCCCCCGGCACGCCCTGCCCTTCCGCCCTGCCCCTCCC